CCTACCATCACACGGCATATGTGACAGATATTACAGATCTTTGCATATTCGAATTAGATTTTTTTAAGAAAATACAATTTTCCTTTCGCTTTTATAAAAATGAATTGCATTCTGCCTGTGAGAATTGAGATCCTGCTCTGGATTAAAGAGAAAGGAGTGAAATTACTCTACCACATAATAACTTAAAATGATATCACAGTACCAGGCAAGAACGAAAATTTTACTTTCTGGATGCATAGCTGATGTCGGTACAGCATAATGGAGTATCCCAGGAACTCTAACAAGTTCCAAAGGAGTAATAGCTTCGGCACTCGTCAACCTATCGAGGACCACCATAACGGTGACAGTTGCCAACGTAAGTGATAAACAGAAATCATTAAGAAAGGTGAAGTGGTTATAGCATGTACTCCAGTAACCTGTGTTAACTAAACCATCAGTCCTTCAGAGTCAGTGTCTTGACAGAGCCTAACATCGGAGATACTGCAAAAGTCACAAAAATACGTAGCGTATTCGGAAACTAAGTACCGTTTCATTCTAGCGCCGTCTCAGCGCTGTGGTAGGCGTCCCGCGCATGCGCACTAGGCTTTCTTGTTCACTGACTTTCAATTGTCGCCATTTTGGTTGCTCTATGTTGTGTTTTCAGTTTGATGTGCACATTCAAAATGCTTAAGACATTTAGTTCTCCCGCTGACTGTGAGATTCGTGCCGTGATTAAATTTTTGAACGCGAGGAATGTTAAACCGGCCGAAATTTATCGTCAAGTGACAGAAGTTTACGGTGAATACGCGATAAGTGATGGAATGGTGAGAAAGTGGGTAAGAATGTTTAATGCAGGTCGAACAAATGTCCACTCCGAGGCTCGGCCTTCTGTTGTCACCGATGATTTGGTAAGGAAAGTTGATGAAGCAATTCATGAGAACAGACGCTTCACAATGACAACTCTTTCAGAGGCATTTCCACAAATTTCACGTACTGTTTTGTTCGAAAATGTGTCTGACCGCTTGAATTATCGTAAACTGTGTTATCGAAACTGGCGGGAAGTTTCTTTGACGATGGTATACAAAAACTGGTCACCCGCTATGACAAGTGTTTGATCATTGGCGGAAACTATGTTAAAAAATAGTTTAAGACATGTATTTTCATGTAAAAATAAAATTGGATTCGAAAAAATTGTTTTACTATTTTTTTTTTTTTTTTTTTCAAAACGGTACTTAGTTTCCGAATACGCCTCGTATTTAGGTTAGGTTGTGAATGGTGGCCCACCTATTACCTGCCTCTACAATAAAGTGATTACCTCTTCAGGTCTTAGTAGTGGCGAAAGCATTTAATGGTTAATGCTCGCCATTTAGAAACAAAAATATTACCCTGGAATAGTTCTTAAACAGGCTGAACAACGGCGTGATTCGGATGCACGAGTTTAAGCATAAAATCGTTAATTACGGCAGGCTAGCATCTTACTATGACCACAGTACTAAGTCCCAGTGTATATAATGTAAATAATATATCGAAGCGGTTCTCAGCCTTTTGACTAACATATACCATCTAAACAAAATTGAAAACTTTGGTACCACCACTACATTTTACAATGATTATTTTTCACTTCCTCAATAGAAATACTAAAAAAAAAAAAAATATTTAGGTTTGGTTGTGTTTTATTGTGTGCATAATTTAATACAAATAACCAATAGGTTGTGCCATTTTCACAACCTATTGGTTATTTGTATTAAATATGCACACATAAAAACTGTTAGATCAAAAATTGGTTACCATTTTAATTACCGAAATTTAAGTTATCATAGTCCAATTCTAAATTTTAGTATCTAGGAATATCACAAGGAAGAAAATCCTTGTTCAAACAAATAGGCTGTGTGAAAAGGTAATAAAAAATTTAATAGTTTTATTTGAGATGCTTTAAAATTCTGTTTTTCAGTTCAGCCAAAAATTAAGAAATGTGTTATTTTTTAAATCTTCAGTTTGAGTTCGATCACAGGAAACTTCTATCAATTTTTTTTTTCTCCTTCACGAGATAGAATTTCAGATAGATTTTTAACAAAATGGGTTTTTAATCAGATTTTCTTTTTCACAATCCTTGGGGAAATGCCTGTTGAAATTAATTATCAATGAAAAAAAAAGATGATTTTTAATGTATAACGCTAATTCTTTTATTTTCAAATTATTTTTGCTTAGAAAACTTTCTGAAAGTGGTAAAAAGCTTAAAATATTATTATCCAATTCTTTCATTATTAGCTTGAGTTTTTTATCACTGCATTTGTTTTATCTCTTAGGTAAAACAAATTAACACTCTATCCTTGTAATCCTAAACTTAATTCATTTAACTTTCCAAAAATATCAGCTAAATATGCTAAAAGCGTCAATGATCATCTAAAACATTTTTGCAATTCAAATTTTGAATCACAGAGGAAAAACTGAATTTCTGATCGAAGTTCAAAAAGATGGATTAAAACTTTGCCTCGGGATAACCACTTTACTTTGGAATATAACAAAAGCATTTAATGTTCACTGCCCATCTCTTGGGAGAAAATCGTAAATATTCTTAAATTTAAAGCTCGGCTTCTAATAAAAATAACAATTTTCACAGGACTCAAAATGATTTTTCAGGTTTTCGGGGATTGTTTTGGCTACTAAAGCTTCATGATGGATTAAGCAGTGAGTAAATTTAGTTTCTGGTGTGACTTTATTTCAGAAATAACACTGGAATGTTTTCCTGTTGAAGCCCGAACTCCGTCACTGCATATGGCAATGCACTTATTCCAAGGAATATCATTCTCAGACATAAAATTGTCAATTACTTTGAAAACTTCATTTGCAGCTGCTCTATCATGAAGAGATTCACAAAATAAATACTCTTCGGAAATTCGTTTATCTTCTTTGAAATGCATGTTAACTAATATTTGAACAAAGCTCTCAGTACTTTCATCCAATTGCAATGCAAAATACAGTGTTTTATTTTTTGAATTAGTGTCTTTTGTGGAATCTGCCATTTCATGGATTTGTTGACTTACTGTATCATTTGCTAACAGGATAATATTAAGCTCATTAGCCACTTTTTCATTGAGTAATGTTAAAACCATAGCTTTAGCTGCTGGTAATAAGGTTTTCTCCAATACTGTGAGCCTGCCCAGTCTTGGCAATTCTTACGCTTACTAGGTAACTAGCTTCGAAAGTTTTTTCACTTGAGGTAACAAAACCATTCATTACTTGTTTACTATATTTGAACTCCTATAATTTCCTCTTAAATTATTCTTCAGATTTATCCATTTAAACTGGCATGCTTAGATTTAAGATGTGTTTTAAGGAATGATGGTTTCATACTTTGGATAATAGTTCACCGCAAACTCATTGAGATTGAAGATCCATCTCAACTCCATTCCAAGTAAGCCCAAATGATAAATAACTTTCATTATATTTACTATAAACAATTTTTCTTTACAATGCTAGTAGATTGTCCTGAATCCATCACTTTTCCACTTAGTAAATCTTAGCCATTTTTCCATTTTGAAAATCTAGGTCTGTTTTATTATTTTTTCACAAATATTTAAAAGCACAATATATTACAAGTTCTTCAAACACAAACGACGATATTCTCAAATTGCATAGAATTTTGTAAGGAATACAAAGCAACAAGAAGCCAAAATACCTGCTATTACAAACAGAAAATCTACGTAAAAATATTCTAATTGAAAATAGAGCAATACGAGTTCGGAAATGGTGGCAACAAAGTGTAGACATGCTAATAAACCTATCAACTCTGAAAAAATTGACGAGATAGTTTTATCTTTTTAGAGGAACTTGTTTCCTATTACATACAACATCAACTTCTATTACTCCTTTTAAAAACATCATTATGACAATTTATATATGGCTAAGAGAATATTTTGTGAAAATAAAAATGATCTATGTTGCTAAAGTCTATGAAAGGCTGTTGACCTTGAACAAAGCTCAGATCGTATAAATTTGCAAGTGTTAGATAAAAGAACTTAAAAAGGATTAATTAAATTTTGAATTTAAGAGTTAAAAATACTTTGTTTCTTTCTATACCACCAATGGTACGTGTAGCACCTGTTGAGAATTGCTGGTATATCCTATTTGTACATAAATTATGGTCCTACTTGTATAAAAATTTGTAAATTCATGCATTTAATTATTGATTAAGTATTTGATTTGTTATATGTTAAAATTGTTATTTTAGTATTGTATTGTTTTGCCTTATTGTAATTAAGGCTTCCTGTCCAGGGATTATACTGCCTGGGACGTGTAGTTCTTGGAAAGGGCAAAGTTACGAATTTTGCATATAGGTATATAATTTTAGTGAAATTATATATGAAATTGTATCTTATGTATAATGTAACACAAAATGCTTGAAAAAGGGAAGCTCAGCCAGTAGATAACGTTACAGGGGCAAGTCTATTTAACAATGATGTAAATGGCCATCTCGATAAATTGGTGAGATGTCATCAAGCTGGAGATGGTTTTGTAAACTAATTTTTGTTGCCAAATGAGGTCAATCCATGCACAACTATAATTGATCCCTTTATGTGACTGTAACTGTATCTGGCCCTTATATGTAACTTTATATGCCTTCCAGTAATTTCAAGAAATGGAAGATACTAGGGATTTCTCGGTGACTGGAAGAAAACTATATATATTAGTTGAGCATCGAGTTCAGAGTATTTAGATATCTCCATGTGAGCTTTGCCTTTTAGATGCACTTTGCATTAGGCTGTGTTTACTTTCTTAGTAGCTTGAAGTGTAACTACTAATTGTATTCTGTGATATTGAGAAGAGTTGTACAAGCACTTTTGTGGAAAGTCCCATAATTGTAAAGTATTTCTTTTGGTAAAAATAAACTTTATACAGCTGTTATTGGTTCTATATGCATTCAATGCATTATGTAGCTACACGCAACAACACATTATGTTTGCAGCGAGTAACTTTATTTAAATACAACTCCAATCCAGAAAATATTTAATACAACTCCATACTAAAAAAGGGTAATTTTTTATTTATAAAATTACTAAATTGTTTTGAAAATGAAATTTAATAATATACATTTTGTTCTATTCTAGCAAAGAATCTTCTGAACACAGATGCTCCAGTATGAAAGACATATTCAACAAATGCAGCAAACTTTATTATCACAATCAAGAAAGCAAAAATTCATAAGGCAATATTCACATACTTCTAAGTGACAAACCAGTATAATTTTAATGTGGGTTTGGTCTTGAAGGATTAAAGGGATCAAATAACTTTGGATCTCTTAAATATTTTGGATTCTTAACCCGGTATGGCATATATCCTGAAAAGAAAAATTGTCATTCTAAACAAATATATAAAATTTCTTTTTTAACAAAAACATTTTCATTACTTCAATCACAATAGATATTTTTAACATTTCTTTCCCCTGATGTATTCATCTAAATTAATTTTATAACAGTTATTCACTCATTTAGTATTAACTTTCTAAATACATTAAAAAAAAAAAAAATCCAAGTACTTTAAATTTCACTGGACCACATTACACATCATTTGGGAAGAAGCTATAAATGTAGGTAAAATGAGATACAGAAGGTCAAACATCCATTGAGGAAAAACGTGAAAGTAGATGAAATTCCGAAGTATACTAAGTGATGTAAGTATTTGTATCAAAAGTGTGCAAGTGGCAACAGCACATATGAACATAAACACTTTTTGAACACAAATTTGCTGTTGATGTATTCCTTTTTATTCAGCCTCTTTTTCCCTTGTTTCATCATTGTCACACTAGCATTTATTAAATTATGAAAACAAAAGTTATCTGCTTTTTTAGATAATATTGAGCTAATTTCCCATTCAGTGACAGTTTCATAAAATCCTCCCATGCACATTATGGACTTAATTATTGATAAGCAAGTACAAATAAACTATAAAAATAAAAGGAGATTAGTTTGAAAGAAATAAGACTGCATAGCTACCAAACAAATTACTTAATTGCAAGACTTGTTTGGTTACACAACTGCAACAAACAAGTATTTACTGTCACATTATCATAAATAGTGGCATGAAAATGACTGGCATATGAATTCATACCTCCACAATTTCATAATCAGATTGTTTATTTGTATAATGTAGTTCTTATGGCAGCAGAATTTTCAATTTATGGCAATGATTTATGTTTATTGCATAAAAATTTGTGTAGGCAGATGTATTTATGTTTAGATGTAGTCTATACAGACCACTAATATATATATATATATACCTTTATTTTATTCATCAGCTTATGAGTAATCATTCTTCAGAAAACATATTACACTTTAATTAGTAGTTTCTTTTCCTACTTGTTGGCTGGTGTGAGCATTGTAAAATTTAAGCATGCTTTAAAATTTTGTTTTGTTTTAATTCTAAAAATATTGGGCTGTAATAAAAAAAAAACTTAATACTGAAAATATTGCTGAGAAGGTAAAGTGGATATGCATGAAAGAAAGGATACAAATCAAAAATATTATCAAACCAAACATTTTTTTTTTTAAACAACAGAAGCTAATGTAGATTCTACTGATCTGTTGTAAGTATGAATAAACTAATACCAAAAAGTAAATTTGAAAACTAATTTTAAAACAGAAATGCTACCAACGCTGTTTCTAAACACACAATAAAAGTAATAAAAGACTTATATTTAAAAATAGAAGGTACTATAGACAAAGGCAATTATAATGAACTTGCAGTAGAAATTAAACATTTTATTCATGCAAAATGCAGACTGCTGCACATTTTTTTAAAAACTGTTAACAAAATATCTAAACAGTATGATCATGGTATGGTCATCTGAAAATATTAAAAAAGTATAGTATAAACCTTGTTGACTATAACCGATTCAAAAGACAAAAGATACATGGGTAAGACAAATATATTTCGGTGGATGATTTTAATGATTATATATATTTAACTCTGCACTAATCACACCTGTCTTCTATGCTTACACTTTCTTAGGGGGGGGGCTTCTGATTGGAAAATGTCCTAAAAACATTCTGACAACATGTACACATTGTTCTAGCAGATTATTATTTATTTCTTACACAGCTTGTTTTCCAGTTTATGAAACACACTTGAAGGTGTGCAACATTTATTCTCTGTGCAAGCTACATATTTAATAATATGAAGAGAATATGGTTTCTGTCTTTGTCATAATTTTTTTAAATTTACTCTCTTCTTTCATTAGTTTTCAAACAGTTTTTAATTTTCTCATTTTAGCAAGAAAAAGCAATGTTTTGCTTAGGATACCTTGTCATTCTGAAAAGATCCAAGAACAGAATATACATATCTGAACAAGAAGTTTAAGAAGCTTTCTAAATTAAATGAAGATTTTCCCTATGTTAAAACTGATACTGGTAAAGAAGATCTACTCCAAGAAATTGAATATTACTTAAATACTGAGCAGGGAATATCAAGAAACGAGATATCAAACAGTTTAGAAAGCGCAATTTTTGTCTACCAAAAGCTGGGATGATTAGTTTAACTACGTAGGAAAAAGTAGATTTCCTGTGAATGTCAGAAGATCTTGCAATACTATTGTACATTTAACATATTTAGATAAAATTCAAAGCAATTTCTTTGAATATGATGCTAAGCATAACATATAGAATTCAATAATTTGTTTCATTTAATCAAATCTTTTGTGGTAGAATTACCTAAACTTAAATTAAAAAGATATTGAACTTGACAAATTATGCTATATCTCTATGCATAAGAAGTGCTTTAGATTTCTTTTTAGATGTCTGAAATTTAACAATGTTTATTATATGGATTCTCAGAAAGAAAAGGGCAGGAAAGTACTGCACCTTTTCATTAAGAACTTACTAAGATATTTTTTTACAAGTGATGAACAACAAGGTCAATAAACAAATTTTAGCAATCAATATGAAACTGCTTTCAGATAATATATTTCAAGCAAACCAGCAAAATACTGATTGGAAGTTTCACTTTGGTGAATACAAACATAGCATATGTTTACAAATTGACCTTGTAATCTAAATAACAGCATCAAAGGTAAAATTTTTTATGCGGCCAAATCAGTCAAAAGCACTATAGCCGCATTCCGATAATTCGTATACTTTGAGACCAATATTTGAGCAGATCATAGATTATGGCTTTTGCAGTTTTACTTATACCTTTCTAACTTTCACAATGAATTTTGGATTACATGCATGTACATAATTAAAACATGCACCTACATTAAGAGCTATTTAATATAAAACACATATTTTTAAAAATAAAATATACAATGAAAATTAAATTAGTACAATGGGAAATACAGTAGACGGAATAGAATAACTGATGATGAAATTTATTGAGAGGGAAAAAAAATTTTTTTGTAAAATGTTTTAGGATATTTTATGTAAAACAATTTTACAGCCATGAACAAAACTATTCTCAGAATAATTTTTCTTTTTAAATGAGAATAAAAGTAATAAATTAATGCCTACTTGTAAACATCCAGGCAGTACTTTTCTCCTAACATAATGCTACAATTTCCATTACATTCTGTGCATGCATAATAAGATTTATAGCACTATCAGCAACTAAGAGAAAATGTTAAAATTGAAATTTTGGATTTACAAAAAAGATTTTCTCTTTTAGCCACCTTTTCCTATACAGTACAAAGTTCGTAATCCGGACATCCATTATCCGGAATGATCTATAATCCAGACCTCAAAGCCACAAACCTTTTTTTGTATGCTTTACGCACGTGCGTTTAATGTATAATGGACGGTATAAGCTAGGCTAAAATTATCTTTACTGATTCTAAGTCATTTCAGTTAATGTTGCTTCTAATTAGATCCGGCTTATTATTTTTTGCAGACTGTTAGAGCAATTTTATAAAAAGTTTGAACTTTCGATTATGTCAAAAAGAGTTTCCAATTCTGGAGTTGCCAAAGGATCTACAAAGTGAGAGCATGTTTCGATGTACCACTTCTGATAGTGAAGAAAGTGACAGAGAGGTTATCGAAAACGAAAAAATTTCGATTGACAAGTTAGTCGGTATTCTCAACACAGCAATTACAGAAGAACAAGAAATTATGTCTGTTTATAGAATTAAAGAGAAAGTATTAGCACAAAAAACAAAACAACTTACATTGAAAGAAATGTTTAATAAAGTAAACAAATAAATATTAAGCTTTTTTTTTTGTAAATTTTGATACCCTTTAGATCATAATTGCTCTTTATTTCATAAATTACAGTTTCATATTTTTAATTATATAATTTCTGCATGCCATCTTACCAGATTTAAATTGATGATCTATAATCTGGAATCACCGAAGTCCCGTCGAGTCCGGACTTTGTACAGTACCATGTTCTTATTTTTATCATGCTAAGAAAATTTCTGCATGTGCAGTTTTTAAGAATTCATACCTGTTTCACCACAGGTGTAAACAAACTTACTTTTGCATTAATGTAAAAAGAAAAAATAAAAGTGAGAAATTCACTAGCTTCATAAAAAAATTATCAGCTAGAATCTAATAAGAATACAAACTAAACTCTGCTCAAATAATGAATGCCTACCAAGTAAAATTCGTAGATAAGCAAAAAGCTAAAGGTTCACATCAATGATGCTATGTGTCACACTTAAAAAATAAGAAAACATACAGATAATATTTTATAATAATATTGGACCAGTCTAGAACATTCTAAAGACATACATGTACACGCATTAAAAACTACTTTGATGAATTTCATACAATTATTAGATTCTTTAGAGAAGGAAACACGAAAAATCAGCTACAGGGCTATGAAGCATGGGTGTTCTGAATGCTAGTTAGACATGTTATCAGTCGCACAATAAGAGCATGCTCAGTTAAAGGGATAACTCATACTTTCCTTTACTTTTCACGCTGAAAAAATTCGATTTTGAGTATCTCTAACATTATTTAGCCATATAAATTTTTACTAAAAACATTTCAAACAAGTGCATTTTAATTTACAAAATGCAGTGATAATTCAATAGACGGTACCTAAGATCAACAGATACCTGCATATGCAATGGCATGAAACAAACTGTGCAAGTAAGATTAATAAAGCTTAAAAACACACAATGGAAATTAAAAATCTTCTTTGATATTCATTGAGATAAGCATATCAAATTACAATCCAATTATTGGAAAAAATTACTCCAGAGAATTTTTGTTGGGGACAAACAACTCCAAACTACCTGTCATGGAGCTGTGTGCCCTTAGGTTTGAAACAAAAAGTACTTCAATTGTGAAAAGGATCACATGTACACTAAATGTCAAAATTTTCTACTACTCAAAAAATAAAAGCAATAAATAAATAGACACAAAGAGGCCTACTTAGCCCTCTGCCTCCTAATGATCCAAAATAGGCATACATGATAGTTGGCGAAAATCATCTTTTATGTTATAGCACAATGCAATCTCTGTATTCTCAATACAGAACCAAAAGACTTCTACTTTCCCCATAATGCTAAACTATCTGTCTCTTTACAATAAATATAAACTTTCCTACTTGTGGATATCTACTGCCTTGGGGAAAAGCCGAGTCAAACAATTAAATGTAACAATTTTCATCATTATTGCTACATCAACCATATTTTTCCCCAATGGCCAAACATTTTGCTAGTTAAACATTAGTTGATAAAAGTCAAACCCATTGGTCACGGCCATCTCAGCATTTGGGATGCTGCTGAGGGTGCACCATAGGGTGACAGGTTTTACACTCAGAAGACAGGGAAGCTCCATCAGAATTTTGATAGATGGAAATGGAACCAAGGGTACCCCATCTACATAAACCAGATCAAATTTAACTTTCGAAGTTCACTGAGAAAATTTTACATTAAGCAAAAGTTCAGAAAATTTTACAAGCATTTTTTATTTGCTAAAAATTTATCACCCACTTTTCAGAGAACTGCTTGACAGAAAATAATCTAAAAACAGTCAAAGTTATTTAAATCCATCCAAAATGAATTCATCTTAGAAAAAGACAAAAAAAATTTTCTCAACAGTATCATTTCAGTCAATTACTATTGATTCTGCTACTGATATCAACAAATGTGATCAAATCTTTATACGATATATAATAATAATTAAAAATAGTTGTGAATATGCTACAAGTAACAGACATTTCAAGAGCAAAGTTTCCTGCTACCAACTGGCAATAGGGTAGTTAGTTATATGCATTCACATTAAAAGGTTTTACTGAAAATGGATGAATAGGTTCTGCTTCTCTCTGAATTTTAAGTAAAATTCCTAAATTTCAAATTTTTAAATGAAAACAATATTGAATACAGAAGTTGTCAAATTTGTGTAATATATATTTTATGCCATCAAGAAAACCTTGATTTTGACTATTACGTAGGTTGTTTTTTTTTCAACCTCCGATCGCACAGTATGATGGCCAGGTATGCGGCAGGTGGTTGGTGTGCGTAGTAGGTGGCTGCACATCCCCCCCTCTGTCATTGGCCCCACACGCTCTGTCATTGGCGTATTCAACACGCCGTTTTCTGTTAAGTTGCAGTCACGTAAACATGGCTGTCGCTATTGATTCTCCCGCCAAGTGTGAATTGCAAGCTGTTATTCGTTTCTTGCAAGGCAGAAGGGAACAGTGCAGCGGAAATTCATCGAAGAATGAGTCGAGTGTATGAGTGATGGCGTTGTTCATGAATGGTGTCGAAAGTTTAAAGATGGCCGAACTGATGTGCATGATGAAGGGGGTCAAGGACGCAAGTCTGTCGCTAGACCAAGCGGTTAAGCAAAATCGAAGGTTCACCATAAGTGAATTATCGATGAAATTTCCGGAAATTTCAAGATCTTCCCTGTACTCTATCGTTACTGAACAGTTGCACTACAGAAAACTCTGCGCTCACTGGGTCCCACAGATGTTGACTGACGACCCCAAAACTCACCGAATGGCTGCAGCGGTTGAGTTTCTTGACCATTACAATACTGGCGGAGAAGACGTTTTGAAATCCATTGTGACAGGTGATGAGACATGGGTTCAATATGACACGCCCAAAACGAAACGACAATCACAACTATGGATGCACACAAATTCTCCAAAGAGACCCACAAAATTCAAACGAACCTTTAACAACCGTAAGGTTATGGCAACTGTTTTTTGAGACCAAAAAGGTGTTGCTTGTGGAGTTTATGCAGCCTGGAACAAAAATTGATGCAGATTCATGTTGTGAAACTTTGCGACGCTTACGGAGAGCTATTCAAAACAAACGAAGAGGCATTTCTGGAGTTTTTCTGATCCGCGACAATGCCTGTCCTCACAGCGCTCGTGTAACCCAACGGCTCCTTCAGCAATTTCAATGGGACATTTTCGAACATCCACCATATAGTCCCGACCTAGCACCGAGTGACTTTCATCTGTTTCCTGAACTGAAGCAGTGTATTGGCGGGAAGCGCTTCCAAAATGACATGGAGCTGAAAGAAACCGTCACAACTCACTTCCAATCGTTGGCGGGGACATTTTATGAAGAGGGTATTGCAAAGCTTGTTCACAGATATGACAAATGTCTCAATCGTCAAAGTGATTATGTAGAGAAATAACCTGTATTGTACATTACTTTTGGTAATAAAAATCTTTTTTGTATATTCACCCGTCTTTTCTTTATAGCCCATCGGAGGTTGAAAAAAAATAGCCCTCGTAGAAGTTGAAAGGACAGACATATTTAATGGTGACAAAATCCGGGATTATTTTGAACCATCTGTATTTATCTTTAAATATTTATGATAGAAGGATAACAAATCAAGTTCATTATTTTAAAGGAATTTGATAGGAAATTATTACCCCTCTTAAAAAATGAAGTGCTTTTACTTATGATTAGATAATGCTCAGATTATAATGACAGAATAATTTTCATTGACAACAAAACAAATCAGCATTTCAGAAACAGCAAAAATGATAATTCTAGTAATAATAATATTTCATGCTTGGATAAAAGTGTTACAAAAAATAAAAACTGTTAAAATTATCAAAGCTATGTATACTTAAATTTTATGATCAGTCAGACAAGTACTTGGATATTTTGAGCCAATTTAAAACCCAATACACAAAAATCTCCAAATACCACTTTTTGATGTAATGTAATAAAGCTTGATGCTTGAAAAATGACGGATAAATTTAAAAACATTTATTCATGGTAAATCAAAATTGTAAACTATTGGAAGACACCTTCTGTAGCTTTTTGTTTTCATTCCGGTCAAAAATTATATTTTATTAGTATTGCAAATAAGAATAAATTTATTCATAACAAAAATTAAAGATCTTATTACACACTGTAAATAATTTCTTTGACTATTTTATTCCCCTTATCAATAAAATATTATTTTATTTTTAGTTTTCAGAAGACCTAACCAGTCTATTTTACAGTATCTCTCAATATTCCATAACCTTGACTGATGCTAACAATTTTAGAATTAAATAGTACGAAATGAGCATCTCACAAAAGTTCATTACTAACTGTTATATAATTTTGATCTAAAATATGCACACACATATATATATTTAACACTAATATTACAGCATTTTCCTTACACCTATAACTACAAACAGCAGTCACTTTGATTGCTTGTTCCGAATAGCAGAAATGGCTAGCTTTTTGCTAATGTAATGTAAAAATAATGCTTATAATGATGCATTTTGCTTGTTTAATAAGTAAATTAAGTAAATTGAGCAAATATATGCAACCAAAAGATAATTTAATGTATCAAAGAGCAAAATAATGCAAAGTGAGTAAATATATTAATCGAAGGAGAATTTAATATAGCAAAGAGCTAAAAGACAAAAAAAAAATCACTCTAGATATTTTTAAACTTCTTATCAATTAATAAATTACCTCATAAAAAGTTTTCACTATGAAATAAATATATTAAGAATTACACATATTAGTAATTAAATTGCTTGGTTTTGCAGTGCATAGATTACTAATTTAATTTTACCTGTATAGGTTCCACAAACATATTTTTTACAGTATTCACAGTTTTATTGCCTCTGCATGCATTTATTTGCCATTGTTTACCCTTACGGGAAGGGTTGACGCAAGTACCAATACAAACTTGCGAATTAGGGATGAAATGTACATCTTTCGAAGCTCCTCAGCCATTTTAAATAAAATCACAACAGCCCATATTCTTACATTCAGTTGTTTCCTTGTCAATTATCCATACATTTATCACTTCAAAATCAAGATTAAAAAAAAAAAAAAAAAATTCAACTGGCCAACGGCTGGACGAGGACTTTACTGAATATTTTCTGGCCATCGGGTAGAAAACATCAATTCCAAATTTGGTCGAATTGTAAAAATTCACAACTTTCAGTATATTTTTTTTCAACAGATGCTATTTCCAATGTTGGGTGCTTGGTGCTCAGGAGTGGAATGTTCTTTTTTTTTTTTTTTTTCTTTTTTTCCCTTGATAAGGTATAAGCAATCTTACAAAAATAAAGCTCATTCCTCATATTTTTGAAAGATAAGTTTTGTCTTTTTCCATACAGGGAAATCCATTCAGCAAACATTTTGACTGCACATCAGTACAAAGCCCAAAATTTAATGCCGAATTTGTCCGGCCTTTTCAAGAAAGAATTAAGAAAAACAATTTGATGAAAAATGGCGCGAACTCTTCATTTATAGCAGCGGCTACGTAACATGCTCGAATGTTCTCAAAAATACTGGTCTAAGGGGAAGATCCTGAAATTGCGGAAAGTTAATTAGAGGTTGCCTGTTTGCGTAAAGCAAAGCCATCGTATTTTTTATATTTTACATATATATGTATTTAAAAGTCTTTAATACGGACTCATCGGGACTTTGGCGATTCCAGATTAGGGATTTTTTTTTTTCCGGATTATAGATCATCAATTTAAATCTGCCAAGTTGACATGCGGAAATAATACAATCAAAAATATGAAACCGTAATTTATGAAATAAAGAGCAATTATGATCTAAAGGGTATCAAAATTTACAAAAAAAAACTTAATATTTATTTGTTTACTTTATTAAACATTTCTTTCAATGTAAGTTGCTTCGTTTTATGTGCTAATACTTTCTCTTTAATTCTATAAAGAGACATAATTTCTTGTTCAGTTACAAAGTTCCGCTGTTCAAGTCCTGTAATTGCTGTGCCGAGAATACCAACTAACTTGTCAATTGAAATTTTTTCCTATTCACTAACCTCTTTGTCACTTTCTTCACGCCTTTGTCCATTTTTTTGCAGCAATTCCACTTTTTGTTGATGGGCATTAAAACATGCTTTCGCTTTGTAGATCCTTTGGCAGCTCCAGAATTAGAAACTCTTTTTGTCATAATCGAAAGTTCAAGCTTACTTTTTATAAAATTGCCCTAACAGTCTGAAAAAAATAATAAGCCGGCAATTAGAAGATAATTAGCCGTCGATTATACATTAAACGTGCGTGCGTAAACGTATTATGCGCATGCGTAAAAGCTTTGAGGTCTGGATTATAGATCATTCCAGATTATGGATGTCCGGATTAAAGACTTTGTACTGTATGTATGTATGTATATATATATATATATATATATATATATAAAGAAAATAAAAATGGCTAAAAATTAGAATTAAAAATTATAACCCGTCCTGCACTATAGCTGCAGGATTGAAGTAGAATAAACTTAAAGTATCTAAATTTATTATTAAATTGGTATAAAAGCAAGGCAATTCCTTTATAATATAATAACTGCAACCACATATAACAGGTTTAATACAATATCCAAACAAATCCAGTTAAAGAAAGAATTCATAGTAGAACAAACTCCAAAAATAAAAATGTAAAAGGGAAAATATACAAATAAAAATTAATCTCCTTTCATTGATACTCCAATTCAGAACTCATTAGGGGAAAATGAATTAAAGCTTCATAACAATCAATTAATATGTTTCGAAAATTTATAATATGTCGATTAATATGTTTATGAAGCTTTAACTTGTAAGATTCCTCAGTGTTTTAATCTATAATTAAAGTTGAGGAACCTTAAGAACTGATAAGCAAATAATCGCTCGAGTTCGTGAGACAGAGAACAAAATGTGAGAAGGGTTAAATAAATTACCCTTTATTATTCCAAATAAAGTTTTACAGATGACTCCTTTCTTACAATAAAGCCTCTACTCGGGCTTGAACTCAAGAAACTAAGAACTAAAACTTAACTAATCTAACTAAAAAGATATAGCCAAAGCTATCAAGATTCTAACAGAGTTGGTCCCTTAATGCTAAATAATGGAGAAGCTATCAAGGGCCTAAAGTACGGCCGAGTGTAATAATAGCTTAAGAGAGAGAATAGCCTAAAAAGCCGAACGTGTGTTAATTAGAATCACTGGCTCTCTCCCGAAGTCAGTAGAACTTCACTGTTAAATACTTCTCATTTACATTTAAACGCGATTATGAAAATACATTCTGGCTGGAAGTTGTAAGTTAAATTCAGGAATATAGGAAAGTATCTTTTAACTAAAGATTAACATAAACCTTACAAATTCATTTTCCCCTGATGAGTTCTGAATTGAAGTATCAATGAAAAGGAGATTAATTTTTATTTGTATAAATTTATATATATTCCTTTTCGCAATTATATTTCTCGAGTTTGTTCTACAGTACAAAATCTGAAATCCGGACTCGTCGGGACTTCGGCGATTCCGGATTTTGGATTTTTTCGGATATTAGATCATCAATTTAAATCTGGTAAGATGGCGTGCAGAAATTATGCATTTAAAAATATGAAATCATAATTTATGAAATAAAGAAAAATTATAATCTAAAGGATATAAAAATTTACAAAAAAAGCTTGATATTTACTTGTTTACTTTATTAAACATTTTTTTCAATGTAAGTTGTTTAGGTTGCTTCCACAAAAAATTCCTTTTTTTTTTTTTTTTTTTTTTAATGTTCATATACAGTTGACTTTCCAATATCATACTCCTCGCATAATTTTGAGATGGATATGCCTTTATACATTTTTTGCAGCAATTTCACTTTTGTTTAATGGACATCGAAATATGGTTTTGCTTTGTAGATTCTTTGACAGCTCCAGAATTCGAAACTCTTTCGACATAATCGAAATTCAAGCTTATTTTTATAAATTGCCATAATAAACATTCTGCAAAAAATAATAAGCTGGATCAAACTAAAAGATTAGGGAGCAGCTCAGTCTGCTACATTAACTGAAATACATTAGAATCTGTAAAAATAATTTTAGCCTAGCTTAATAGTGTCCGTTATACATTATTGGCTGTGTATCACAAGACTGGCGACGAAAGCTTGTTTCGCTAAATTTTGTCTTGCTTCTATTGCGTACTGAATTAAGCCTGAATTGTATTAGTTTAGTTATTTACTATACCAACATTTATTTCTTATATACTTAACTCTTTATCTAGGGCCGGTGCTAAATACCGCATGATGCAGTCTCTATGGGTCCTAAATTCTGCTACAAAGCATCTTCCTAAGTTCTAAATTTTGACCACACCTAAAGTATCCCAGTGCTTCCCCATAATCATAAAAAACTTATCCCTTAATTTTGCCACTTGATGCTTCCCCAAATTCCAAA